AGAGCACTGAATGACTTCAGAGTGAAATCAGAAGGTATTTCAAAACACAATAGGGAATCAACTATGTTGACAGCAAGTGAGTAGACCAACAAAATGATCAGAGAAAACATTGTGGATATTGAAAATACAGTGATAAGCATGGAAAGAAAAAAGGCAATAGCATGATGAAGATAGCACAAATGGAATTAATTGAACATTTTAAATTATAGTATTTTGAAATAGAGAATACCTATAAATCTAGATTAAATGCAATAAGCATCATCAGAGGAACATAAATCAATCCAAGAAAACCCATTTTATATTAACTATAGTAGACAAAGAGCAATTGCTTGAAATTAAATATCAAATATTGACAATAAAATAAGAGGTTCTGAAATATTTGAAGGTGCTTGAATCCTATGATTCTCTCAAGTAGTAGTAAAGATTTCCTCTTAAATCTTCAATCAGTTAATTGTTCTGAATCACATATACACTTAAATTACAAAGGTTAATAATGTACAACAATTTAAAGTTACAAAGCCAAGGAATAAATAAATAAATTGCTCCTACAAAAAATTAAGGAGTTTCAAATTTTTCTATCTCAAATCTCAACAAATATTGTAGAAATATATATCAATTCTTCTTTGTGTTATTTCTTCTCAAAAAAAATTCTTCTTTGTGTTATTTCTTCTGTAATGTGTAATATGTCCCAAGTCCCTTCTATTTAGTCTAATTATTATTACATATCTTTTTAAACCACAAATACAGAGAATTAATCATAATTTGTATATGGTACAATATAGCACTGGTCTGCACAACACCCTCATTTATTTTGTTTATATATTTATTCATGCCATTTTATTTCCATTCATTACTTCCATCCCCTACTTGCAGCTTAAGAAATGATTTGAATGTATTTGATGAGAATCATTTCATTTGTGTGTGTTCTTGTACAATGTGTTATTTTGTCTTATGGTTTTAGATTTTAATATGCAAAATAAAATGTAATGTGATATAGACTTTATTATCTTTCTAGTTTTGTCCATTAGGATCCATGATTTTAAGCCCTACTCATGTTTACAACTGTTCACCTTGTATGTTGCTACTAAATACCATATCATTCAAAAGTGTGTCTTTATCGCAGGTTACTAATTCATTCCACTACTGATGACTATATCACCATTGCCTCTTTAGCCACCCAACCAACAAAACAGAGCAATGGTGAACATTCTAGTAAATTTGCCTTTAGAGACTTATGTACAACTTTATTTTGGATATTTACCCAGAAGGAATACTGGGGTATCTAATGAATGTATTTAATTTTACTTATTACCACCATTCTTCTTTCCAGAATATCTGCATCAGTCTATACTCATTTCAGCAAACAATGGGTATTCTGTATCATTTATTTTCATCAAAATTATTTACATTATGAAATTTTACTTTTTACCATTCTGGTATGGATTAAAGCTTCTATAATTTATATAAAGCATTCTTTTTCCTGACAGTGAAGTCTGTGTACTCAAAATATATTCAGGAAAAAAAAAATACAAGCCTCAGTATGGATATCAAAAATCATTTAGAAGCTACATATTCTACAAAAAAAAAAAATTCTAATTAGATTTTAAAAGGATCCAAAGCATATAAAATAATTTATTGAGCACTTAAAATGAATCAGATATTATTTATATGCTGAGAAATAGTAGGGATAACAGCAATCAAAACAAATAAACCAAACAAAAACTTGTCATGAACCTTTTAACAATAAGCATTTCTATTGCTCATGAATCTATGCATCATCTGGGTAGCTTTTCCAATTTTGGCTGGACTCACCCATTTGTCTGCATTTGGCTGTGGATCAAATAAGCAACTCTGGTAAATTTGTCCGGGGTTTTTGTTTTTGCTTTTCACACATTTGGGGCTTGGCTGGCTGCAGGCTGGTCTAGAATGTTCTTGGCTAGGGAAAACGGGTTCTTCTCCAAATGATCTCTTATTTTCCATCATCCTAGATTAATGTCCTCTCATAAGAAAGGCACGTACTTAAGAGAAATGATGGAAGTGGGCCAGGCACGTAAGGCATAGCCTCAAAACTTGCACACCATTGGGTGCCTGGGTGGCTCAGTTGGTTAAGCATCTGCCTTTGGCTCCTGTCATGATCTTAGGACCCTGGGATCATCCCTCACATATTGGGCCCAATAGAGTCTGCTTCTCCCTCTTCCTCTGCCCCTCCCCCTCTGCTCATGTTCTATTTCTCACTTTCTCTCTTTCTCTCTTAAATAAATAAAATCTTAAAAAAATATTACAAACTATCACCCCACACACATTTTACTAAGTGAAAGAAAATCACAGGACCAGTGCAGATGCAAGGCATGGAAAAACAGGTTTTACTTTTTAAAGAGAAGCTGCAAAATCACATTGCAAAACACATGGATACAGGGTTCACTGGAAAATTGAGATTGTTTTGCTATCAAAACAAACACAAACACAAGTACATGTTTAATACATATGAAGGACAATTGTATATGCTATGGAGAGCAATAAGAGTTCCCAAAAGATAACAGGTACCTAATGGCATAGAACCTGTGGGTACTGTGATACATTAGGCTTTTAATTGGAATGAAAAGGAAAACCACTGGAAGAGTTTGAATGAAAGAGTGACATCCTAGGGCACCTGGGTGGCTCAGCCAGTTAAGCATCTGCCTTTTGCTCTGATCTTGATCCTAAGATTCTGAGATCCAGCCCCTAGTGGGGCTCCCTGCTCAGTGGTGAGTCTGCTTCTTCCTCTCTATTTACCCCTCTCCGTTGCTCTTGCACTCTCTCTCTCTCTCTCTCTTTCATTCTCAAATAAATAAATAAAATATTAAATTTTTAAAAAGAGTAATATCCACATGGGGAGGAGGAGGCATTTAAAAACACAAATATGGAATTCAAAGGAAATGTCTGAACTGGAAAAAATATATATATACATACATATATATATATATATATATACACACACACACACACACACATACATACACACACACACATATAACATGCTAAAACTTTAAATTACATTTTTTCATTTTATTAAATATACATTTCATTAAATCATATTTATGTCATTATATAAGGTCATCAAATAATACTGAATTCTGATTTCGGTAAAAATATGTCAGAAAGCTGTATCATTTACAAATTTGATAAACAAGGTTTCTCTATACCCAGGTTTAGCATAGAAGAAATGAGCTCAATTATTTGCTTTTCCCATTCCACAAATCAGTGCTTATTAGAAACCAACAAATTTTAGTTTGGGTAACTTTTTGCTGTGTCATCATATCATTTATTCGAGTGTCGTCTCTTTTGGTATGTCCATGACACTCCTTCAGAGCTGGACCACTTTTCATCTACATGAATGTTGAAGGCACCAACCAATGAAGTCTTTTACTTTCAGTAAAAGGAGACATATGTATAAATAATTAAACACATGCAATTGGGGGACAGTCAATGTGGAACTTAAAAAAAGAAAAACTATCGCTTATTTCCAACAGAAAACGTATACAGTAATGGTCTTTCTATATTTCTAGGAAGCTAGCACAATTGGTCCACCTATGAGAAATTACAATAACTAGACATCTGCTGAAAACACGGCAGAACAGCACACAATCTGTTTCAAATATTTTTGCATAATGTGGCTGACAGACAGTATAATAAAACAAACAATACGGGGAATAAGGTTAGTACTTTACTGACAATTAAGTATGGGTAGTTGATACTTGTAAGAAAAGACAATTCAGAAAACCAATCATAAACAAGAAGGTATTGGGAATTTAGAGCAGAATTTTAAGGAAAAAGCTCAGAAAATAATAATGAACTTCAGGAAAATATAGCATCCTGCTAATAACAAGAAGAAAGATTCATTTAGTGTACAATATGAGAGAGTTGTAAAAAGTGAATCAATGTGATTATTAAAAACAAAATAAAAATACTATAGAAAGAATATATATGTCTGAAAAAAAAAGAATATATATGTCTGTGTGTATGCGAAGACCTATCCCTTCTTTTCCTCCTGTTTTATGTTTTACCTTTTTCATATTCTTGTCAGCCCCCAGGAAAACATCTACGACACCCAACTCCTCCATGAAACTGGATAGTCTTTATTATAAGGCTTTTCATGATTTATATTTAAATTTCCAATCTATTTTACCAAAATTTACATTTTAGAATCTAGTATGCTACTTCCTCCCTTTGTGGATGAAATTTATTTATTTTCTCATCACCTTACTTAATTTGACCTGTCATTCTCCATCATTTAAACCGTCTACTTTATCTTCATAATCTTCATTTTACAGACTAAATTCCTTTCCTTGAGTATATCACCTTTATTAAAATATCTACTGGCATACATAACTCTCGATCTACCATTAGTACACAAATCACAAACTGGAGAGGAGTCATTTGAAATAAGGATGCTGACAGATTTGATTCATCTATACAGTTTTCCTATTTTATTAAAGCAAATCTATAAAGATTGATAGATTTTTCTGTGTTAATAACAAATGTGACAGTACTTGGAGGAAAATACCTACATAACAAATGTAATCTAGTCTGACTTCAGTTTTTAATATTGGGTGCTATATATTTTCAAGTTTCGCTTTCCCTCCTCCCTTCCCGGCCCTCTTTTGGACAGGCAGCGAACAAAGTCTACATGCTCCCTCACTTGGTGTGAGGTTCAAACCCCAGAAACAAATGGGAAACAGGTGCCCACAACTGGAAAGGTTGTGGCCAACATCATACTCCCCCCCCCACACACACACACAATAAAAGCCCCAAGCAGATCTCTTTTCCCTTCTCTCACAAACCATTTCAGACACATTCAGGAGGCTTACTCTGTTTTCCCCCAAAACTCTTATTTTGCTGGTAATAAACTTTTCCATTCTTTCTTCTCTGTGTTTGGCTGGCATCATCATTTTTGACATACAAACCAGATTTTGAGTGGGTTCCATGCTGCCTCTGCAGAATGTTTAAAGAGTGAGCAAGGATCTGCAGAAACTAGGACATTGCTCCCTCAGTGTGCTATCTGCAAGAGCGCTTCTGAATCTTACTTATTACTCATGTGTTGATCTCAATGGACATTTCATTTTGCAGCAGACTACCTTAAAACAGATGGTAGGTAACTTTTAAAATATTTTTTGTATTATATTTGTCATGATTTATTGAAAATGATCCATGTATTTTCTAATGATATCAAATGGAACCACGATCATTAACCAAAAAGTAGTGTGTGGGGGAGAGGATAATGGTAGTTATTAAAATCAAGAGAAGTTTGTTCTCTAAAAAAATAATGAGGTGATGGATTTTTTTTTTTTGGAAAAACTTTGAAGCCTCTAGCTTATTTTTTTCTTAAAAAAAAAAAGCTCAGCTCACTGAGAAAGGCCGAGTTTAAGTGTTCTATAATATTATTATAATATTAATTATTAGAATGGCAAATTTTAAAACATTGAAAGTTCTCATGATTTTTTAAAAAATTAATAATTGGTATTTCAGTTCTGCAAAGGAACTAGGAACTGTTTCAGAGAAGCACAGAAATCCAAAGCCAGAAGAGAATAACCCAATATTCTGACATTTTGAAGTTATTAAGAAAAGCAAGATATTGGAAAGATTGGATAAGTTTAAGCTCCAGGTAAATTTCTGGAGAATGAAAAAGAAATGTCAGCATTACCTAGTTATTCAGTTATTGAAAATATTTGCTTTTTATGAAGTGTGGTATATTTATTTTATTCCTTGACAGAGATGGGATGAAATAAAATGTAATTACAAAGGAAAACATATTTGTATAATAACTGAATGAAATATGGAACAAATAAACAATCTTGTGATATCCTGAGTTATTATGAGAATGAATCAATGAATTAATACCTATAAAGGGCACAGAACTGTATCTGGCTCATAATAAACATTCATTGTTGCCTAACATAATCAACACTGTTATCACTGTTATTATAATAAGTAAAGGAACAGGCATCAGACACCTATTGTTCTAGTCATATTGTTCGGTTAGATTTCAGTTGTGGGGATTGTCCTGGACATTTTCTGGATTTGCATTTCTTTATTATACATATTTAAATAGGTGGGGAATTAAAGATAATTAACAATTCTAATTCAATTCATTTTTTAAAAGTTGTTTACCAGCAACATAGATCTAATAATAACTATCAATTCCTTGTTAACTCTCATCCTTCTTCTTTTGTCCCCCTTTAATTAAAGTGCATCTTTAATTCTTAGATGATAAGATTAACTTTGATAATTGCTGGAACTCCCATTTTGGAGGTAACTAACAAATAAATTCAGGAAAAATTCATTTCTTGCCCCTGACCTGTGTCATCAGAGTCCAGACTAGCAATGCCAACTCTTTTTTTTTCTTTAATTTTCAGAGGTATTTTTTTTGCTTGTTTTTAGATTCCAGATATTAGTGAAATCACTGAATATTTGTCTTTTTCTAACTTATTTCACTTAGCATAATCCCCTCAAGGTCCGTCATGTTGTAGCAGATGGTAGGATTTCCTTCTATTTTATAACTGAATAGTATCCTATTGTCAACCCCTCCTCTTAAATGCCTTGTAATCCAGTAGATTAATATAACGAATTTTTAAAATTCATTTTTAACTCACGTCTTATTTTAGGAAGATTCAAACTGTGCCCTGTAACATGAATCTAATATAGTCCCTGCATTTTTTACCCTTCCACTTATAATCCTGTCCTAAAAAGAGAAAATAGATGTGCTCAGTATTTCTTACTTTCTATTATTATTCTTATTTTTTTAAGTAATCTCTACATCCCATGTGAGGCTCGAACTCACAACCCCAAAACAAGAGTCACATACTCTCCTGCTGAACCAGCCACATGGCCCCCTACTTTCTGTGTTTCTAGTGGAGGCTCAACATCTCATACTGTAGGATTTTCTACCAGCATAACACAACCTCCAGCTGAATAGTTTACTGTTTTATTTATGAGACAATAAGTGAAATTACAAAGATAATTATTTGTCTTAGAATAGTTTCCCACATTTTTTCTCATCAGTTGAGATAAGAATTTCAAAAAGCACAATTAGAATAGATTAAGATACCCTGTAGTTGTAGGTCAAATATTTAGCAAACTCAGAAATAAATTTGTATAAATGAATATCTAATCACTGAAAGCAAGCAGAGTAACTGGTTGTATTCAAAAGCCTAGGATTACACAAAGACTTATGGAAAATGATTAGGTCTGTGTCAAGTTCTGATTGTGTGCATTCCCCCTACATTAATATGTTGAAGCCCTGACCCACAAGGTGTTGGAAAGGCCTGTAGGAGGTAATTAATTTTGGATGATGTTGTGAGGGTGGACCCCCTAATGAAACCAGGGTCCTTATAGGATGAGAAAGAGGAGACAGACCATGTTCTCTCCCTGCCACGTAAAGATAACAGCAAGAAGACAGCTGTGTACAAGCCATGAAGATATCCCTCACTGGGGAGACAAATTGACTAACACTCCAGAACTTTGAGAAATAAATCCCTGTTTAAGCCACCCATTATACCGAATTGCATTATAGCAGCCAGAATTGACAAGCGCCATATGGCAGGAGTAAATAACCCCAAAAGTAATGAAATGCAATGTAATTTTAACATATTAATATCATATTTGAAAATGGGATGTTTTAGTATCTCAACAATAAAAAAAAATCAGAAAGAACAGGAAGTGGAAGATATACCACAATTTTACAAGACATCAAGTGAAAACAGTTAGTGTGTGTTGTGATCTTTTACAATTAGTTTGTAAAAAGGAAAATATTCATATCAGATATTTCTAGGCTAGAATCTAGACTCAGGAATAACCAGAATGTGAGAAATTTTCTTGAATAACTATTTACTTTTCAAAATGGATAAATACTTTGTTTTAAAATTACATATATTCTTTTCTTACCATAGCTTTCTGATTAAAAGCATATGATTATTGCAGCTACCTTAGAAAATATCAAAATATAAAAAGAAAAATAAGTTATTATATTGTGTATATTTCTTTAATTCTCTGATACACATGTATACTTTAATAAATTCAAAATATATTTAATATTTAATTTATATAAATCTCAAAATATGTAAAATCATTTTGGAAAAAATCAACTAATTGACATAAAAATTGATAATTTATTGTCAACTTCAATTTTTCATTTGCAATTTTGAAAATAGGTTTCCTGTAAATACAGTACCTTATATCTTCTAGTATTTGTATTAACTATGTGTTCTTTTTCTTGCCCATCTCTCCCAGCAGATAGGGAATATTGTGTGTGGGTTTTTTTGTAAATTAAAAAAAATTTTCATACATTAAATGACATTTCCTTACAAACATAAAATAATTTTTCCCATTTAACTTGTGTGTCTTTTAGAATTTTCTTTGTAGTATATTGTTATGTTTTCTTTCTTTTAAAGATTTTATTTATTTATTTGAGAGAGAGAGAGAGCCCACTTGTGGGCTTGGGGAGGAAGGGAGGGTGAAGGAGAGAGACAAGCAGACGTTGTGAAGAGCGTAGAGCCCTACATGGTCTGCCATTGATACCGGGACCCTGAGATCATGACTTGAACCAAAACCAAGAGTCTGATGCTCAAGCGGGGGAGCCATCCAGACACCCCACTACTTAATTTGTAATAGCTTTATATTTGTTCCATTCTATGAGTATTTCATAATATATTAGGCCTTTGTTTTTTAAATGGTTTCTATTACAGAGTAAAGGGGAAATATTATATCTTTAAGAGATCATGCTTCTATATGTTGCTTTTAAAAAAAGTTCCTAAAGTTAGAATATACAATAGAAAAGTAGAAAACCCTTTTAAAATTTTTAATTTATGTTAACAAAGACATAGCAGTTTACATTTTACCAACAATCTAGAAATCAGTTCCTTCAACCATTTCTCTTATTTGTTACATGGATCATATTTTCAAAATTATTTTTATAACATATAATGTATTTTTTGCCCCAGGAGTACAGATCTGTGAATCGTCAGGCTTACACATTTCACAGCACTCATCATAGCACATACCCTCCCCAATGTCCATAACCCAACCACCCTCTCCACACACCCATCCCCCAAGCAACCCTCAGTTTTTTTGTGAGATTAAGAGTCTCTTATGGTTTGTCTCCCTCCCTCCGATCCCATCTTGTTTCATTTTTTTTCCTTCCCTACTCCCCAAGCCACCTGTCCTGACCCTCAGATTCCTCATATCAGAGATATCATGTGATAATTGTCTTTCTCTGATTGAATCACATTTTTCACCTTTATTGTCTCAATATATTTGAAATATATATATCCCATTCTGAATTCTAATATTAATTATTTTACCTTACCTTTCCTTAAATACCAAAGGTAACCACAATATAATAAATGTTAATTACCTCTGTATAAAGCAAACTTTTGGTTTATTTCTTCTTCTGGCCCAATTTTCTCATCTTGCCATGGAAATGTGGTGTGAGGGAACTCAGTATTGCTAAATACTACATTATATCTTTTGTTTTACTATTATATCCCACTTTTCCTTTCATAAAATAATTATTAAGCGATTTTAAACTTTTGTTATCAAAGCTTACCATAAGGTTATAATAATAAAAACTGGAATCCCAAGTTCTATATAAAATCTTAATATAGGTGCATCTCATTGACTCAATCAGTAGGGGATAAGATGTTTGAAATCAGAGTTGTAAGTTCAAACCCTATCTTGGGTATAGAGATTACTTAAAAATAAAATCTTTAAAAAAATCCTAACATATACATTTAAAAAAAATATTTGTGTTACAATTGTCTTATTTAAATGAAATGAGATTATCAGTTCCTTTATTTTAAACTTTGGGTTATTTGGGTCAAAATGACTTTATTGGCTAATCTTTTAATGTTAATATTGCTCTAGAATTACAAATGAAATCCCAGGGATATGTAGGTGCTATGTAGCAATATCATAGTAATTTAACATGTGAGAGTAAAAGATAAAAATAATTTTGCTTTAGATAACCTAACCTGCGTTGTGCCATCTCACTATCACTAATAGCAAATTGCTATTTAGGGATGAAAGGGTTCTCATCGATAATTTCTGTACAAGCTAAAAATTTCATACCATTATGTATTAAGAATCACTACATTTTACTCAGAAATGGAAATGATATTTAAATGAAAAAATCTTAAGTCTTATTTTGATAGTTGGAAGATTGTCATAAATAGCAATTTCCTCCAATCTTTAGCTTAAATTACTGCATAGATACTTTGCAAAAGGGTTTCTTTTCTATCTTTCACATCAAAATCACATTTTTACTCACCAATATTTATGAGATTGGACATTTATTGGGTTCTCTAATGTCAAGCCCTTTACGAGTATTTGTGTATTTAATTCTCACATTATGTCCATGAAATAGATACTATTTCTGTACTCATTTTACTGATGAAGTCATAGGGGCCAAAGAAGACTATGACCTGTGTGTCAGGTAGCATGGTTGTCAGTTTCATAGCTGGGGGGGAGAACCACAGCAGCCTGGCTGGGGACCCCATACTCTCACCCATTCTACATTTTAGCCTCTTTAAGACTACAGTGAAACAGTGGCATAGAACTAAATAATCACAGAATGTAATCACTCCCAGCATTCTATTTACAGATTATGTAATGACATATTAATTTAATAATTATAGTTATTTGTGGAGACTAATGATATATATTTCTTTCCAGAACTAAAACATCTGGCACTTGTAATACATCAGAGGCCTGAAGTTCAAGTTATGTTATATTGGAAGGTAAATTTTAGTGTTTTCTGTATATACAAATAACTGTCACCATGATAAGAACTTCACATGATTCATATCCAGAAACTGCCCTTGCCTCCTTTTCCCTCTGCTTTCCTTGCATGATTCATTGAGCATGATTACAGTACCAATCTTAAAACACACTAGCATTGCTTTGTTTTCTCAGTTCCTTATAGAATATCTTTCATGGAAAGTAACCTTTTCCCAAGACCCAGACACAAAGATATATACACTCACATCACTGAAGTACCCATTTCTAATACCTACTGGCTAGCATTGATTTTTAAGACACATTTCAAAGAAGACATGGCCCTCCCCCAACACACACACACACACACACACACGCACACGCACACATACACACACACACAGAGTCAACTAGATGTAAAAGTTCTCTTGAATTTCATTATTGGTATATTTGCTAATATTTTCCTTTTTTGCTCTAGGTTCAGGTATCACTTCTCCAATTCCGTTATTCCTCTATTCTCTGTTAGGATGGAGAAAAGCAGTACCTTCATACAACCCAGATAACTCCAGTCTGATTTAAAAGTTCATCCTTAGCTTTTACTCAACCTCTGCCCTTTTATTGTGAACTAATTCTATATATACTTGTTATTCAAGCTCTTGTCCCCAGACTGGAACACATTCCATGTAGCTAATCCAGAGAGGTTTTTGTTTTTAAAGACTTTACTTATTTATTTATTTGAGAGAGAGAGTGTGTGTGCACGTGTGTGAGTGGGATAAAGGCAGGGGCAGGGGGAGAATCTCAAAGAGAGCCACCTTAGTGGGGCTCAATTTCAGGATCATGAACGTGCCAAAACCAAGAGCTGGAGGTTTAATGGACCGAGCTACCCAGGCACCTCCAGAGAGTTTTATTTAATGACCATTTGTTGGGGGATTTCTCTTTAGAAGCAAGAGATTCCAGGTATTTTAAGTATTTATCAGTTTTTGTTGTCTTCTTCAGGATCATGGTAACCAAATTGAACTGCTAGAAATGAGAATTAAACAGAAATACAGAAATAATATTTGTTTCTAGTCCATCCAAGTAATCCTACTATTTGTCTTATGGAATATAATGAATATAAAGGAATTAAAAACAATTTGCTTACATTCTATTTACCAGGTGTTCTCCTCCTCCAGGTTAAAAAAAATCAAAGCAAATGCAAACATTTCTCATTAATAACATTATGAATATTATAATAAAATTAAATATTTCCTGGGTAGGATTTTAAATGATCACAGTTGCTTAAAATATTATATATATCATTAACTTCTTGTATATTGATTTCAATATACTATATAAGCAGAATTATTTTTGAAGTTGCATGGATATTGAATTTAATATTAAATATCAATGTATTTTTTTAAAGATTTTATTTATTTGTCAGAGAAAGAGAGAGGGAGAGAGATCAGGAGCACAAGCAGAGGGAGCAGGAGGCAGAGGGAGAAGTAGGCTTCCCACTGAGTAAGGACTCCCATGTGGCACCAGATCCCAGGACCCTGGGATCATAACCTGAGCCAAAGGCAGAGGCCTAACTGACTGAGCCACCTAGGCATCCCAAATATCAATGTATGTTTGTGAACTATGTGATTTCTGAAAACCCGGAAGACTCAGTAGAATGCTATACAAAGAATTCTATTCTACTGTTATTCTCTTGTTCATATTTATTTACTGGGATATTTCATTTAATGATTGTTTAAATCCAATCAAATTCTTTAAAAACTAGTGTATAAATCCAGTTTTTTAAATCAAATTTTTATATACAACTATCTTTAAAAATAAAATAGAATGAAATTAAAGAATCAAGGAGAAAGGTATATTAAAAAGTAATAACATATAAAGTTGTTTGTCTTTTTTTTTTTTTTTTTTTTTTTTTAATCCACAAGAAGCCATATGGCAAGATAAGATTCAGAGTGACAGCATTCGGTTAAAATCAAAGTGCTGACTTAGATATTTCTGAGATTTAACAATTTATTTGAATGGGAACTCATTGTCTTCTCTTAACTAACCAAACCAAAATCTTTTTATTCCCCCCCTAATCTTTGTATGATTTGTGAGGAAAAGAAGTGGACATTTTGCTTTGTATAGAGTGGTAGAAGAGAAATATTGACAGGGCAACAGCTAGGATTTTCATTTTTAATTCTCAAAATCCCAGTATACAAGAACAGAAAACAAAGAGGAAAAAAAAAATTAACCTAGGCATTACATTCCTTAATCCAAAATGAATACTAATAAATGCACATTGGTTTTCAAAAAGTCATATATTAAATGATAATATGTGTAAAGTGGTTATAACTATGCCTAGTACATTTTAAGTCCCAATAAACATTAGTTATATTAATAAAAACAACCAGAAGCATGTAATCTCATATTAAAAGGTTTTGTGTTGTTTAGTGAATTAATTCATTAGTGTTGTAAGGCAGAAAATTATCAGTAACAAGAATCCTAGCTGTTTTACTAACTATACAGTTAAAATCACACTGTGGAGGAATGGTCAGAAAGTGACCGAAAAAATCGCATGAGTTTTACAAATCCCATGTCTGCTTAACTCTGACATCATACAGGTCAATGCTATTGCACCTAAGAGAAGGATGATTCCTGGTGCTCTATTGCTCAAGGTCCTACTCTCCTTTAATGTAGCACATGATACTTTCTTAAGAGCGACTGCACCCACATGCCTTCCTTTTTCCTAGAACCATAAATGAACAATCTCTGCCCGTGCAGTGCACTCAGGCCCTAGACCTTCTTGCCTTACTCAAGGACACCACTCCATTTATGTTTGTTCACACTTTCCCTTCTAGAATATCTCCTGTTTCCCATCTTCTAAAATATCCTTGTTGATGTCAAAACAATATCATTTCTTCCTTTTGAACAAAATAAATTCTGCAAACTTTTAAAATTCCATTTGCCTCACTACTGGTCGATTTCTTTGCTGTTCCTTAAAATTTGTTTTAATTATATATTATATATAGAGAGATAGATAGATATCTTTATCTATGTATGTATATATGTATGTATATGTGTATGTGTGTGTGTGTGTATATATATATATATCAAGGATCATCTATAAATACTCTTTAATTCCTGTCAGAAACTGCAACAGTCTGATCTGAATCTGCATTCCAACTTACTTTCCCATTGCTCATTCCAGTCAATGACAACATATCAGCACTATTTCAAAGGGGTGTCTCTCTCCTCTTTGATTGAATACTGCCTTGGTTTTCCTTGGCCTCATATATCCCTCCTGTTCAGTTCTAGTCTCTTTGCTGGTTCTTCCACTTATTCTAATTTTGGAGGAGTTCCCAAATGCACAGGCCTGAGCCTTCACCTGTTTTCATTCTATAGGGCCCTGTTTTGGGGAGGAGTTAAGATGGTGGAGAAGTAGCAGGGTGAGACTACTTCAGGTACCAGGAGATCAACTAGATAGCTTATCTAAAGATTGCAAACACCTACAAATCCAACCATAGATCGAAGAGAAGAAATAGAGCAATTCTAGAAACAGAAAATCAACCAATTTCTGAAAGGTAGGACTGGCGGAGAAGTGGATCCAAAGTGACAGGAAGATAGACTGCGGGGGGAGGGGCCGGCTCCCAGCAAGTGGTGGAGCAATGGAGCACAAAATCAGGACTTTTAAAAGCCTGTTCCGCTGAGGGACATTGCTCCAGAGGCTAAACTGGGATGAAGCCCATGCGGGGTCAGCGTGGCCTCAGTCCCGCAGGGTCACAGAAGGATTGGGGGTGTCTGAGTGTCACAGAGATTGTAGGTATTAGAACGGGAAAGCTGGCTACAGAGACAGAGCCGAGGAGTGAGCTCTCAGCTCGGGATTACCTTGAACCAGTCGAAGGCTCGGTGAGCTCGGAGTGCGGCCAGAAGCCAGGGAGACAGGAGTAATTGGGCGCTATTCTCTGAGGGCACACTGAGGAGTGGGGCCCCGAGCTCTTGGCTCCTCCAGGCTGGAGACTGGGAAGCCACCATTTTCATTCCCGTCCTCCAGAACTCTATGGAAAGTGCTCAGGGAACAAAAGCTCCTCAAAGCAAACCCAAGTGGATTACTCAGCCCGGCCCCTGGTAAGGGCGGTGCAATTCTGCCTGGGGCAAAGACACTTGACAATCACTACAACAGGCCCCTCCCCAGAAGATCAACAAGAAATCCAGCCAGGACCAAGTTCACCTACCAAGGAGTGCAGGTTCAATACCAAGGAGAGCAGCGGAATTCCAGAGGAGGAGAAAGCAAAGCACAGAACTCATGGCTTTCTCCCCATGATTCTTTAGTCTTGCAGTTAATTTAATTTTTTTTCTTTTTCAATTTTTTTTCTCTTCTTCTGCTATTTTTTTTAACTTTTACCCTTTTCTTTTTTAACGTTTTTTAACTAGTTTATCTAATATATATATATATATGTATATATATATTTCTTTTTTATATTTTTTCTTTATTAATTTTCTTTTTTTAATTGTTTCTTTTTTTTTTTAAATTTTCTTTCTGAACCTCTTTTTATCCCCTTTCTCTTCCCCCGCCCCCACGATTTGGGATCTCTTCTGGTTTGGTTAAAGCATATTTTCCTGGGGTCGTTGCCACCCTTTTAGTATTTTACTTGCTCCTTCATATACTCTTATCTGGACAAAATGACAAGGTGGAAAAATTCACCACAAAGAAAAAGAACAAGAGGCAGTACCAAAGGCTAAGGACCTAATCAATAGAGACATTGGTAATATATCAGATCTAGAGTTCAGAATGATGATTCTCAAGGTTCTAGCTGGACTCGAAAAAGCATGGAAGATATTAGAGAAACCCTCTTGGGAGATATAAAAGCCCTTCCTAGAGAAATAAAAGAACTAAAATCTAACCAAGTTGAAATCAAAAAAGCTATTAATGAGGTGCAATAAAAAATGGGGGCTCACACTGTTAGGATAAATGAGGCAGAAGAAAGAATTAGCGATATAAAAGACCAAATGACAGAGAAAAAAGAAGCTGAGCAAAAGAGGCACAAAC